GAGTCACAGACTGAAACAGGCTCCAGGCTCTGAGCTGGCAGTCAGCACAGAGCCCGACGCGGGGCTCGAACCCACGAACCGCGAGATCATGACCTAAGCGAAAGTCGGACGCCCAACCGACTAAGCCACCCAGGCGCCCCAAGTTCCCTCACCTTCTAATTTCTAGATGATATTGTTTAGAAATGGCATTATTCCTTCTTCAAATATTTGGTAGAAATCACTACTGAAATAATTTTGTTTAGAATTTTCTTGTCTGGAAGGGGTTGAATTACAAATTCAGTTTTTAAAATAGATACAAGCCTACTCTGTATGTCTATTTTTCTTTAGTGAATTTTGGCAATTTTTGCTTTTTTTGGAATTGTACTATTTCATCTGAGTTGTTCAATTTATGTGTATAGAGTTATGCGTTATTCTCTTCCTGTCCCTTTAATTGCTGTGGGATCTGTAGTGATAACCTTTCACTTTTTGATATTGGTAAGTTAGGTCTTTCTCTGTTTATCTTTGCCAGTCTTGGTAGAGGTATATCAATTTCATCAATCATTTGAAACAATTTTTTTTTCTGTTTTCCTGCTTTCCATTTTATTGTTTTCTGTTCTTATGTTTATTATATCGGTCCTGTTTCTTGCTTTGGGTTTACTTTGCTCTTATTATGGCTTCTTAAGGTAGAAGCTTAGGTTGTTGATTTGAGACCTTTCTTGTTTTCTAACACATTTTAATAGTATACATTTTCCCTCATTACTACTGTTAACTGCATCCTACAGATTTTGATATATTTGCATTTTCATTTAATTTAAAATATCTTCAGATTTCCCTTGATACTTCCTCTCTGACCCATGGATTATTTAGAAATGTGTTGTTTAATGTCTAAGTATTTGGGTATTTTCCAGTTTCTTTCTGTTATTGATTTCTACCTTAAGTTTTTTATGGTCAGAGAACATGGCTTGATTTCAGTTCTCTTAAATTTGTTTTATGACCCATGATATCCATGGGCATATCCATGACCAAGCAAAGCAAACCTATAGAAGTTTGCAAAATAGCACAACAACCGGGCCACCTAGTTGGCTCAGTTGGTTAAGCATCCAACTTCAGCTCAGGTCATGATCTCCCAGTTTGTGGGTTCGAGCCCCACATCAGACTCTGTGCTGACCGCTCGGAGCCCGGAGCCTTCTTCAGATTCTGTGTCTCCCTCTCTCTCTACCCCTCCCTTGCTTGTTCTCTCTCTTTCTCTCTCTTAAAAATAAATAGAACATCAAAAAAAAATTTTTTTTAAAAAGCACAACCAATCATGTATTCTACATCTAGATTCGTCAATCAGTATTTTGCTACATTTGCTTTATTTTTTCTTTCCGTCTCTCCCCACTCGTTAGTCCATTGCAGACGTCATGACAGCATCCCTATAGGCTTTAGTATGTATCTCTTTCTTAGGACATTTTACAAAATTATAACGCTATTACCTAATACAAAGTTGTTATTCAGATTCCCCTACTTATCCTCATGGAGATTTTTTTTAATTCAAGATTTACTGTATGATTTTATTGAACTTAGTAATCATGCCTCCATTATTTCCACTTAGAAGAGTTCCCCAGCCATTTTTGCCTTAAGATTGTCATTAAGACTTTTGAAGAGCTCAGGTCTGCTGCTTTGCATATGTCTTTATATTTGGATTTGCCTGATGGACTACTTGATTAGGTGCAGGAACATTTAAAATGAAGTCACTTGCTTTCAGTGATTTATTTCAGGAGACACTGCATGTCAGTTTGCCCCACCTCTGGTGACATTTAATATATTATCTTGATTTAGGTGGTGTCTACTGGGTTCCTAACTTGTAGTGGGACCTTTTCCTTTAGTAATTAATAAGCCATTTGTGGGGTCATAGCTGGGTGAATATCATGTTCTCCAGTGATCTTTTATCAAATACTTTTAGCATTGATGATACTTTTTTTTTTAATGTTTATTTTTGAGAAAGAGAGGGAGAGAGACATACAGGCAGAGACAGAGCATGAGTTGGGAAAGGCAGAGAGAGGGGGAGACGCAGAAACCGAAGCAGGCTCCAGGCTCTGAACTGTCACCACAGAACCTGAGTGGGACTCGAACTCTCGAACCATGAGATCATGACATGAGCTGAAGTTGGATGCTTAACCGACTGAGCCACCCATGGGCCCCTAGCGTTGATGATTCTTACCTGAATCAGTTATTACTGTAGTGGTTGTCTAATGGTGATTTTCTTTTTTTTTAATTTATTTTTATTTTTATAACTTTTAAAGTTTATTTACTTTGGGAGAGACAGAAGGTGCAAGCGGGAAAGGGACAGAGAGAAGGATAGACACAATCCCGAGTAGGCTCCGTGCTGGCAGCCCAGTGCGGGGCTTGGACTCACAGATTACCAAGATGATGACCTGAGCTGAAATCAGGAGTTGGATGCTTAACCAATTGAGCCACCCAGGTGCCCTTATTTTTATATTTTATATTTTATTTTTATTTATGTTTTTATAATGGCGATTTCCTGTTTCTTTTATTCCTCTGCATTTACTAACTGGATTTCATTTGTGAAGAAGAAATTTGCCTTTTCCTTTCGTTCTTTTTCTTTCCATTCTTTCTGTCGTTGCTTTCTTATTAGCAGTGTGGAGTCATGAATTCTTTTCTTTACTCATTAGTCAGTCCAGTGCTCAGATTGTCTTAAATTTGGCTAATGAGAACCACTACTTAATTCTGGGTTGGTACAATTGCAGCAGAGGTAAGTTTTCTCTAGTATTTAACATTTCAATCCATTTGTAGCCTTAGGAGCTACGAGGATTAATGCAGGTACCACCCTTCAGACCTTACTTTTGATAACCCTTCTGTGCTTATTTTCCAGCAAATCACTGAACTGAAGAAAGAAAACTTTAATTTAAAGCTCCGCATCTATTTCCTGGAGGAAAGAATGCAACAGGAATTTGATGGCCCCACTGAGCACGTCTATAAAACCGTGAGGTCCCATTTCTCACTGGCACCCCTGGTGTCTTGTCTCAGTCATTCGCAGCAGAAATTTGATTAATATTTGTTCTCCGAGTTAGCCTGAATAGACAGAGCTGCTTTCATTTAATTCGAATGGATTACGGGGAGCGTAAAGACAACAGGACGACCTTAATAGTAAGCAAAGAGATACAAGATTAATTTTAAGGGACTCTGTCTCTCTTTTTAAAATCCAAATTCTCATTCACTATCTGCATCTCAGTTGTCTTTTCCTAATTATTTATAATTGAGACAAAGACGGTGAAATGGCGGCATGTCTTTAGAATTGCAGCTGCTGTCACCTGCTAACTCGTGTAGCCGCAGGCAAGTCCCTTCACCTCCCTGGGCTTGCTTTCGGAGTTAAGTGATAATCCCTCCGTCACAGGGTTATTTGCGTGCATTAAATGGGACTGCCGAGGAGGAGGCCGAGCACACAGTCGGTACTTGGCGATTACCCTCACTGGTTGCCCGAGACTTCCGTTGGCAGCTCTCAGTGAGGCCTGTCAGCTGTTTGTGCCCTGGCTCCTCTGTATTCCTGGAGTGCTTGCTTCTAACTGTCAGAAGAGCGGCTGTTCCCGTCCGAAGGCCTGACCTGGAGGCCTCTGCCTGAAAAGGAACCTTGGTTCTGAAAGTTGAAAACAGAACTTGGCTTTCCTGACAAGACATGAGCACAAACAGTATTTCAGTGCCCATGTTTTGGCTTTCTCGAGCAGATTAGCCCCTGGCCCGGGAAGTAGTCCATCTTTTCTCCTCTGAGGTTTGCACCAGTGGAAACTTTGGAAGGGGGAGAAAGGACTCTCCTTGAATTTCAGCAGATGAACTTAAATGGGCTTGTCTTGAAGAGGGATTGTACTGTACTTCTGAGCCTTTTCAAGAATTGAGAAGCTCTCTTGTCCCTTAAGGCAGTTTTTTTCCCTTCAGTGTGGGGGTGGAAAGGCAATGAGGATGTCCCCTTTTCTGGAAGGAGGTGATGATACAATCATAGTTTCTGTGTGGGTATGGTTACACGCTTTTAGGGTGATAGGGAGCCAAAGCATGTTAATTGCTTTGCTCTTTATAAGCCACGGTCCTGGGCATTTGGACATTTATCATCTTATTTTAATTCTCAAGCCAGCCCTGTGCAGTGGAGATTATCCTCATCTTACAGAAGAGGAGGCTGACGTTCAGGGAAGATCAGTTACTTGCTGGATGTCCCAGAGCTACTGTGAGAGGTGCATTCTGAGTGCGGGCCTGCTTAGCTTTTTTTTTTTTTTTTTTTTTTACACCGTCTGATTAGATGACCTGAGTTAATTATACTTTTATTTCAAGCTGTTGGATAGGTGTACCTGGCTCAGAATTCAAAGAGCATCAAAGGAATACACTGGAAAGACTTTCATCCACCCTTGTCTCCTAGTTCCCCAGATCTAACCGATATTATTAATTATTTATGCAGAGGAATTTTATGTATGTACAAGCAGGGGTGTGTATGTATATAAATCTCCTTTTTACAGAAACGCAGGCACGTTCTGTTTTGCACCTTGCAGTTTTTTTTAATAATAACTTGGATATCTTTTCCTAAACAGTAGTGTAATAGCTTCTTCATTCTCTTTCATAATGAAATTCCATTTTAAGCTTATAAGGTGTCTTGATTTTTGGTTTGGAGGCTGATTCCCATGTATATAAGTTTATAACTTTAGGTATTGGGCTTGAGAAAAATAGTCTAGTGGACACATCAGCTCTCCATTGTTTTAGGTTTCTGGGTTGGGGGTGCCGGTTAGTTCATCAGAAAGCAGTTTAGACGATCTGGTGTCAGTTCTTAAGTGGAAACTCTCTGCCCTTCTTAGAGCTGAAAAGGTGTCTTCTGTTTGAAGGCTGTTGCCATAGGTCTTCACAGAACCGGTTGACCGATGGACTGTCACACAGTGTCCTTTATGCAGAGATCAGCTTCTTCTAGAAAAAGTTTGGTCTCATAGATGACTTCTTCAGTTACTGTTGTTGACAGTGAAGAAGATACCGTACTGGGAAACCCCCGGCTGCTAGGCTCTTCTCATCTGTTAGCTCATTTGGTCCTCAAATCCCCCAGGTTGGGAGGGCTTGTACTTTTCTTTTGACACTTGAGTGGCCTGAAGGAAGCACCTTTGCTTTCTCCCCTCCTCGACTTGTGCTTCCGAGAACAGTTACAGGCTGGCACTTCAAGTATTATAGTTGACACTGGCGTGAAGGCAGGGCCTGCATCTGCCTTGTTCACCACGCCGCCCTCAGTGCTCAGCCCCACGCTTGGCCTGTCACAGGTGCTGGGTCTGTGTCTGAGAGCAGCCCAGGTTAGCAGGTTGAGGATTTCCATTCTGGCTGACTTCTCAGTCTCGGGTCCTCGCTGCCCCAGGGCTGCTTGGCAGAATGGTGGGAGGCGTGTCCCCAGAGACCATGAATTTTACTGGAAGTGTGTTTTTTATTTAAAATAACGCACGTGTATTATGGAGTGGGATGTAAAATTGGCACAAATTATTAAAATAAAACAGGAGCAGGAAAACAGAGAAATCTTGGATTTATAGCGGTCCTCCACCAACTACACACTCAGACCCCAGGCTGTACCGCGTGAGCTCATCTGCCGTTCCGTAGGGGATACATTCGTGGGTGGCTTTGAGAGGCCCGGCACTGCCCCGCTGTCTCACACTGCGATGTCTTTACCAGAGACTCTAACTCCCGTGAGTTCGAAGGCCAAGGCCATGTGTGACTCCCTTCGCTGCAGTCAGTGAAGAGGAGGGCGTTTGGTTGGAGAACACAGTGGTGGCCCTAAGAGACAGCTTGCCCCATGCAGCTGTGGCTCTTCAGTAAGTGCCCCGAAATCTTCCGCTGAAATGAGACAGGCGGTGGTGTGGCCTCCCACTTATCCATCCACATGTTTTATTTATTTATTTTACTTTATTTTTTTTGAGGCTGTAGCACGTTTCCACTGCTATAGCCACCACATGCATGATTGTAAACAACTAGAAGTAATTGCCTTGGAATGGGAAACGCAAACGGCAGAATTGCTTGTAAATTTGCCTGGCGGAGGGCAAACAATTTTTAAATCAGCCTCACTTGTATGACATTTATGCCTCGATGTTTGAATGCTCTGGCTGTTAGGAGCTTGGAAAATTTACATAATTGTTCCAAGTCTTGAGAAATCCAGGGCTTCCTTTTGAGACCACCAGTGTTTAATAATTCCCTTCTCCCTGTGCCCTGGGGCTAATGAGGGTTTGAATCTAGCATCTGCCTGTTTATAAGCATCCTGTAGGTTAGTCTGTGTGGAAAGCGGTTTCCCCGCTGCACACGTTCCTGGGTCCCGTGTTTCACGTTGTTTCTCTTCCTTCCTCATCTCGGCTGGAAGAACATCGAACTCAAAGTGGAAGTGGAGAGTCTGAAATGGGAGCTCCAGGAGAGGGAGCGGCTGCTCATCAAAGCCTCGTGAGTACCTGCTGTCCCGTCACAGGCTCGCGGGGCGCCCGGGGTCCTGGGACTGGAGGCCGGCTGGGTCGTTCCGGTTTTCTGAGCCAGTTGCTCTCCCACTCTGTGCCTGGAGGACCCCGCGGAGGTGTCTGTTTTTGTTTAATCACTTTTCAGCGAACTTTTGAAGGGTAATATACTTGCAGGGAAAACGATCTGATCTTAAGTGTGCAGCGTGGCAAATTTGCACTAAGCAAACATGCCTGTGGGGCCACCATCCAGCTCGAAAACCAGATCATCACCCACCCCCCAGAAGTCCCCTTCTCCACCAGGATAACCACCGTGCTGACCAGTGATGGCACCAGTGCTTGGTTCTGCCCGTGCTTGAGCTGGATGGGCACACAGGCCTGCACTGTACGTGCGCCCTTTTGTGTCTGGCCTCTTTCCTCAGCAATATGTTTGTGCGATCCGTCCATGTCCTTAATTCTATCAGCGGCTTGTTCATTTTCATTGCGGTCAAAGCCCTAGGAACCTGCAGGGACCCTGAGGGACCCCTGTGGTGAATGAGGCCCGGGCACAGGGGGTAGGGCTTTAACCAGCGGGACTTGTTTCTGTATCTGCTTAATGCACTAGGGTCTCTTATAATATTTTGTTTAAAAGAGGTGTTCAGCTTAAAACACGTTTGAAAACTATTATTTTAAGTAATCAAATAATTACTTTGAATATTGTTTGAACACAAGCCCAGTTCAGAGAATACAGTCTGTGACTCGATTGGCTGTTCCTTCATTCATAAACATTTATCATGTAATTGTGCCACATATGGAGGATTAGGAGAGAGGCGTCCCCTCACTCCAGCCATGCAGCAAGCTTGTCAACGGAGTGTAACGGGGGCACAGTGACAGAGGGCATCTGCGGGTCTTTTGGGACACCGAAGTGTCCAGAGTTTTGCTTGGTGAGAGTGGAATAAGACTTCCCAGGGCTGACCCCTCCCCTTCGACCAAGGATCTGGCTGAAGGCTTAGGGGGAAGCGCTTCATTTGTCTTGGTAGCCAAGCTCCTGCTGGATGCAGTGGGCCGGGAGCATGGACTCATGGGCTGGGCCATATCGCTCCTTTTGTTGTCACATGGCCAGCAGCTGGAAGTTGGAGGAGACGAAGACAGGGTGAGGGGGTGGGGTTCCCCAGCCTGGGCTTCCCGGAGTTATTGCCGACCTTGCATGCTAGGTATTTTCTGAATGAATGAGTGAGTGAATGAATGAATGAGTAAACTAGATTAAAAAGTTTTTGTTTTTGTTGTGTTTTTTTTTTTAAAGCACCTCATTCTCCGACAGGAAGTCAAGTCTACTTTACCAAGTCCGGAAGTCAGTAGTAGAGTTTGAATTTGGTCTGTTTCATGCTCAGCGCCCTGCCTGCTGCAGGTCTTGGCTAAGACTTGCCTTTCACAGGCATGTGCACATGGACATCCACACTCACAAAGGCTGTGCACGCTCTTCCGTACCACACCCGGGGCTGGGTGTTTTCAGCTCGCACACGGATTTGTAGGCATAGATGCCCCAAGCTGCCCAAAGAGACCTTTTTGGGTGTGACTAGTTGTATTAATTTATCCAGGAAAGATTTATTAAGCAGCTGTTTTGTGCTGCACTGGACCGGGTTCCCGGGGAGGCGGTGGTGATCTAGACAGACACAGGCGCTGTCATTCTAGAAGGGCCAGTGGTGAGAAAATACTTGGAATAACAAACAGATGACTACGAAGTGGGAAAGGAGCTGTGGGGAAGACAGGGGCAGCGGTGAGTGTTGATAGGGTAGGAGTAGATCTGCCAATAGAGACGTATTGCCGGGAGGGGGCCCTGAGGAGGGGGCACTTGGGTGATGTGCGAGGAGCAGGTGGGAATTGACTGGTACACGCGCAGGTCCGAGGAAATACGACGCCTGGGGAGGTCTCCGTCTTGTCCCGCGGGGGTTTGAGGCCGTGGCAGAGACTGTCCCAAGATAAATGGGAAGGGGTCATGGGTTTTGAGCAGCCGACACAGTCAGGGTATAGTTTTGTGGGGGTCACTGTGGAGCCGAGAGGAAGGCGCTTTGTAGCCGGAGCACGGGCGGAGGCAGGGAGACCGGTGAGGAGGCCAGTCCCGTAGTTTAGGTGGGAGGCTAGCGATGGTGACGGGTGGCTGGGTCGTGAAGGCATCTGGTGAGCGCAGTCAACAGGCCTTGCCAGTGGACGGTGTGTGTGTGGGGGTGCCAGAGATGACTCCTAGGTTAGGGGTTAAGATCACGAGCTCTGTTTTATTTGAGTGCTTACAATGACGTAGCTGCTCCGGCGTTCCCTCCACCAGCTCTTCACCCCCCCATGCAGCTCATGGGTACTGAACGGGTTCCATTCCTGATGCTCTAGCCTTGCCCTGGCCAGCCCCGTCTGCGTCTCCTGGTGCCTACCTGACACAGAGGCTCGGGGTGAAGGCTGCCGGGCTGCCCGCAGCCCACATTTGTACCCCTTCACAAGTTCCCTGGCATAGAATCACACTCCCATGCGTGCGGCAGCACTTTACAGTTTATACAACACTCGTGCATCAGTTGCATGCCATTGTTCTCCCTGGAGCTAGGCACGTCTCCAGGAAAGCCTCCCTGGGCGGGGGGAAGGGGGGGTGTTGAGGCCTGGAGATGTGAAGGACCGTGATGAACAGCACTTGGGCAGGAGGATCGGAGCTGGGATGAGAGCACAGGTCCCTGACTTCGGGTCCAGCACTGATTCTTACGCTTGTTTTCCATAACATTGACTGTTCTTTTTTTAAGTTTACTTATTTATTTTGAGAGTGAGAGACTGCGTGCGCAAGCATGAGCAGGGGAGGGGCAGAGAGAGAATCCCAAGCCGGTTCCATGCTGTCAGCCTAGAGCCCTGTGTGGGGCTCGAACCTTGAACCATGAGCTCATGACCTGAGCTGAAACTAAGAGTCAGACGCTTAACTGACTGAGCCACCCAGGTGCCCCTCATATGCTTTTGTTCTTTCCCTCTGTGTGATTCTCGTTTCTCCAACAGGACTCTACCCCTTCTGAGGCCAAGAGCCGGTGCTCCCTTAGTGGCACGTGGGGCATCTCAGCTGTTCCTACCCCAAGGGCCTTTGTGCGTGCCGCGCGGTAGGACATGCTCACTGTCACCACATCCCTGCTGAGTGTGCCTTTCCCTGCCCCTAACTGCCCAGCACCTACAAGGCGTGGGTGTGCTGCCTTCTTGTGGATGGAAAAAGTACCTTCATTAATGCCCTCAACTCCCTTTTTCACTTTTATGGTGGGGTGTGTGTGTGTGTGTGTGTGTGTGTGTGTTGGGGGGAGCAGGAGATACAGGACCTGTCACTGGAAAAGCCCCTGCTTTTTCTCCTGAGCTATAATTAGAATGGAAAGAATCAAGAGGACGTGGCGATGGTTAAAAAGGGTTGCGGGTGTCGCGTTTATATTAGGTTGTCTTTTGTATTGGGTGGCATGCTGGATTAGACCACTGTGTCCCCACATTTCTTAGCCTTAGTCTTGCTTTCTATCTTCTCTGTTGGCCCAAATTCTGCAAGGAGAGACAGGATAGGGGGAGTGGGCAGCCGTTTATCCTGCTTTGCCCCACACCCCATGTCTGGCACTTGACATGCTTTGTCGCTTTATCAGCTGCACAACAGTGATGTGAGGCGGCCGGCATTCTCATTGATTCGGGGGGCACCTGGGTCCCAGAGTGGTCGGGGGGCCTGCCCAGGGGGCGACAGAGCTGGGGCCGCTCTGGCTCTGGAGCCCGCTCTGTCTGGCTGTGGAGGAAACACGTCTGTGCTGGCTCTCCATTGTTGTATTTATCAGTTACAATAAGGGGACATTAAAAACAAAAGCAGACATATTGTCGGGAGTAAATTTTATCTCTGTAGCTTTAAAACACAAACAAAAATAATAATTCCATTAGCAGAGGAAAACTGCACCATGCTGCCGAGTATAAATTTTATTGCTACAGTAACTGTAAAATACAAAGATGATAAATGAAAAGTTGGGACATTTATTATTGAGAATGTATTTTATTGGTATAACTAAAATGAAAACAAACTGAATAATACCAGCACTTGTTAGAAATTGTAGTCCGCCTCTTGCCAGTGTATGTGGTTTGGACTCTAATCACTCCAGGGTTCGAAGTGGGCGGATGGGGGGAGATGTCATGTTTGCCCTCGCTGGGCGGGGGGCGGGCGGTGACAGAAGGGACCGTTCCCAAGAGGAGGCTCTGTAAGGCTCAAGGGCTAAAACCCTGCTGGTGGTTACTGGGAACTCAGGACTGGAAAAGTCCCGAATCCACAGCTCAGGAGGAAGAGCCCCCAGCCTTGAGTATGGTGTCAGCCTCTCGGGGAGTGACAGTAACGACTATGGATCACGGGGAACTCCCGACGTGACTGATGGAGCAAGGAGCCGAGCGGGCCGGGGCCGAGCACGTTCCATGGCATCATCGGGGAAGTGGTGGTGGTGGCCCTGCTTCTGGCCGGAGGATGACCTGTCTTATCCCAGAGGGTAGACTGAGGCCTCTCCTAGCAGCTCAGCAGGGGCCAGCACCGCGGTGGCCACAGGGCCGGCGGGCGGCACTCAGACCGGAGGGCGAGGGGTGCCGTGCTGCGGCCACCACGCGTGTCAGCACATTTGCTCTAAGAGCCAAACATGTCCTTTTTCAAGGGAGGAGCCTGAGGCGTACGGGGTGAGTTACCCAGAGTCACACTGAGGACATGAGAGAGTGTAAATTTGGAAGCAGATCTGTTCAGGCTTCGGAGTCCATGGTCGCTCTTTTAGTTGAACATTGAATTCCATTAAAGTGATGTCAGGACACTGGGGCCTTCGGAAGCCTTCTTGGTGAAAGGAAGCAAGATATGAATAAAGTCTCTATTTGCAGGCAGCTCCTGTTTGATTCTCAGACAGCGAGTATGGCCCTCTTGACTTTCCATTGTTCTCAGTCAAAAATTCACATGGCCCGTGCATGTGAGCGTCGGGTCACGTGGCTCCTGGCCAGGAACATTCCATGCGCCCCCTAAAGTAGGGCACAGGAGGCGGCGGTGAATACGTTGGCTCCGTTGCAGGTTTTCTGAGAAGCCAGCTTTAGGTGGAGCCATTTCCTTTATGATCCTGCTTCTGCCAACCTGCAGCCGCTTAGAAATCTGCCGAGAAGCGCTCTGAGTAAATGCCCCACACGTTCGTGCCTGACCCTGCCCTTCTTCGGAGGAGGAGGACCCAGATGAAGGGCATCAGGCGTTGCAGTCCTGCGTCAGATTCCGGTGCGCCACCCCCCGCCGCTGCTTGTCTCCCCGACAGCATTCCATGCTGCCCCGGCAGTGTGGACGCTGTGCTTGCGGAGCGCGGGCTGCTTGTGCAGCGTCCTCGCCGGGCCCCGGGTGGTGGCTGGCGCTCGCAGATGGAGCACGCGGTACTGAAAATGCTTTCCCCTCCCGGGGGCGAAAGGTGGCGTCAAAAGGCCCTTGATCCCTCAAATTTCTTTCTGTTGGGTACTGCTCCTTTGCGCCTTGGTTCGTCAGACCAGCTCTCCACCTCTCCTACCACTCGTGGAGGTGTACTTTGCTGGAAGTTTCCCAGCGGGAGATTTGGCAGTAGATTTGGCAGTAGCTGTCAAAAGTCTTAGGTGTGCCTCCCCGTGGTCCCCGTAGTGCCCTCTGTGGGAACTGACCCTGGGAGATCACTGGGTCCTACACATGCAAGGATGCTCTTATTATAACCCTGCTTATGAGAGAGTACGGAACAGCACTAACGTGTATTTGAGTACTTTGCACTGGGCACTGTTCCCAGAGCTTTAGAAGTGTTTTCAGACAAATGTGTAAAATCAGAAATCATGTAAATATTTTAAAGTTAGGGGATTGATGTGTGTCAGGTATACTTCAGTAAAAAAAATAGGGGATTGATTTAATATACTCTAGTATATTTCATACAGTGAATTAATATGTAGCCTTTAAAAATGATAGAGATTTATATTTATTGGCACAGAAGGATGTTTACAGTGTATGAAGTAGTAAAATCAGATCATGGGTATATATTGTATGGTTGGTTCTGTTTTTGTAGAAAATGTCTGAAAAGTCCATATGCTAAAATGTTGACTTCGTTTTTCTGACTGGTAGATTATAGATGATTCTTACTTCTTCCTTAATTTGTGTTTGTATATATGTATTTAAAAATTTTTTTTTTTAATGTTTTATTTATTTCTAGGAGAGAGAGAGAGACAGCATGAGCAGGGGAGGGTCAGAGAGAGAGGGAGCCACAGACTGAAACAGGCTCCAGGCTCTGAGCTGGCAGTCAGCACAGAGCCCGACGCGGGGCTTGAACCCACGAAGCGCGAGATCATGACCCAAGCGAAAGTCGGACGCCTAACCGACTAAGCCACCCAGGCGCCCCTGTATATATGTATTTTAAATTGAGGTATGATTGATAGATTGCATATAAGTTTAGGGTATACATGTTGATTGATTTGATACATTCATATACTGCACTGTGCATTTTAATTACAAATTTTAATTTAAAAAAAGGGCGCTGGGTGACTCAGTTGGTTGAGCACCTGACTCTTGGTTTCGGCTCAGGTCCTGATCCCAGGGTCACGGGATCAAGCCCCGTGTCGGGCTCTGTGCTGAGTGTGGAGTCTGCTTAAGATTCCTTATCTCTCCCTCAACCTCTCTCCACACTTGATTTCTCCCTCCCTCTCTCTTTCTCAAATAAATAAATATATATATAAATATGTAAATAAATAAAAATTAAAAACATCAACAATAACAAATCTCCAGGACAGGTCTGTGGGAGGAATGACTAACAAATATTCCGTGTCTCTTTGGGGCCATTGAAATCGCCATCAGACTGTCCCCATGTGGATTTTACACCTTGGTCTCTTTTTGCAGCAAAGTGGTAGAGAGCCTGGCTGCAGGGGGCGGCTCTGAAGTGCAGCGGGTGAAAGAAGATGCCCAGAAGCAGGTGCGGCAGGTCGAAGATCTCCTAAACAAGAGAATATTCCATTTGGAAGAGGCAAGTCTGGGGGCCCCGAGGAGCATGGATCCTTGCCATTGGCTGATAGTGGAGTGGGCAGAATTTTGCTCCTTCACAGACTTGCAGAATTGCCGCAGACATGAGGGCCTCACTGTTCAGCCCTGTCCCAGCCCTTAGGCTATGGAATTTATACCCTTATGCCCTGCGGCCTGGCCTTATTCTTCCAGATGAGGACACCGGAGTGTAGACCAGCGAGTCTACGTTTGATTCTGGATTTCAGTTGACGACTGCTGACTTTAAAGCCTGTGTTCTTGCTGCAACAGTGTTCTTCTTACCTAGTTTAGTCTCTTTATTTCTCCAGAGGAGGAAACTGAGGCCCAGAGAGGGGAAGTAACCCACCTAACATGCGCTAAGCCTGGAAGCAGATTCCGATTTGCGGGCCATCGCGGGCCCGGGCAGCCCTGTCCCTGGTCTCCGGCCAACAACCCCCCGTCCCCGCCCTTTCACCCCAGTGTTCACCGGATGCCATTTCTTAGAGAGGCGCTGCGTGTAGTTCCTCCTCCGGCTTGTTCTCAGGCGCTTTCTGTGACCTTGGTGGGAAACAGGATGTGTCTTGGCTAAAAAATCCTGGCTCCTAGATGTTCAAAGTTTCCCTCCATGTTAAGCTGGTATTAAGTGACACGAGTCACTTACTTCTGGGTCTTTGAGGGCTCTGTCCCATCTCACTTTCTCCCCCTGAAACCCTGAGTCTTCTTAGACACGCAGAGGAATGCTGCACAGAGCCCTTCTGGACACAGAAAACAGATGCGCTGGTTACTGTACTTTGCAGCTTATAGTGAGTGGGCTTTTCCATTCGCAGTGTTCACACTAGACCCTGTGGCGGGGAAGGGCAGGGAAGAAGAGGCCGTGTAGCAACTCTTTGATGGGGTGGTGGTACCTGTTTCATAGATAAGCGGGGGCTCAGAGAGGCTAAGTGACTACCCAGTGTCCCACAGCAAAGAAGTAGGAGAGCTGGGTTTTGAACCCAGTTTGATTTGACTTTTACCTTTGTGCTGTCACCAGAAGCGGTTTGCACCTGGAGATCCAGACCTTTCCCTCGGGCGCTTTCCTGAGCCCCAGGCCCCTTCCCCCAGCGTGGGCACTGCCTCTGTGATTTAGATCATTCCTTTGTCGGCCTCTCCAAGCTCTCAGGGAGAACATAGTCTTTCAGCACCCACATCACCTTGGGGATACAGAAAATGTGCTTTAGAATTGTGCAGTCATTATCTTAAAAGAACTAGTGAGGGGGTGGTGGGGTGTGGGATGAATTTGTATGGAGATTATGGGTAGGGGACTCTGGAATGTATGTGTGTTTAGGTATTGAGAGGCACATTTCTCCTTGTTCTCATTGAAGCTGTAAATATTGACCTGATTCTTCAAACCCCAAAATACAGTTTTTGTAGAGTTGAGTCTTTTCCATTGGAAATGCCTATTACTCTTCAGGATACAAGGGGAGAAAATGGCTGGCAAATGTATTTATTACTGATTCTCCCCGTGTATATAGTACAATTCAGGGAGGGGAAATGTGCCGGAGAAAAAGTCATAAATATTTATATTTTAATCCAATTTCCTTTCAAAATGTTCCCAATTGTATTGAAAAATTGCATCAAATGCATTTAATTTAACTCTAGGATGTGAAAGCTGCCCAAGCAGAACTGGAAAAGGCCTTTGCAGGGACAGAGACAGAGAAGGCGCTTCGGTTGAACCTGGAAAACAAGCTTTCGGAGATGAAGAAGAAGCACGAAGGGGCCTTGGACATGGCTGTGGTCCTGGAGCAGAAAGACAGGTCTGCCTCTTACCTCTGCTGTGCACTGACACTGACATTCGTCTCTCGGGCACTATGGCCAAAGGGTTATTCCCTTCCTACCCTTTTTCCCTCCTTCTCTGCTTGTTCCCCCACAGTGAGGACACCCAGGGTCACCTCAGGGGAACAGGAAGATGGCTGGGGTAGTGCTATGAGGGCAAGGATAGGATTAGAGGTAGAAACTCCTGCTGAAAAGCTCTACTCAGATACCACTTCAGTTTTGGCTGTAAGCTTCCCGGTAACCAAAGGGAAAAGAGAACAACAGCCATGATGGACCAAAGATTCACGTTGCTCACAAGAGGAAATGAGCTAGTAACTCTGGGGAAGCCCAGGTTTACTTGACATCGTCAGGGAGAAATTTCTCTTGTGGATCTTCCCAGAGGGAACAGGAAGTGATTACATCCCCACAATAGATGCTAGTGAATTTTGTGTGACCCTGCTTATCACCATGTCTTTTAATGCAGGCCGAGGGCCCACTTTCATACCGTGCAGGGGCTCAAAGCAGTGTAGACCAAGCGCAGAGCTCTGTGACGGTTCAGGAGCAAAAGGAGTGCCACCTAGTCCAGAGAAGTGGACCGACCAGAGGGCCTAGAGGCGGTCTTTGATGCTCATATCTTGCAACCAGACTTCTGATCGAAACCAGTCAGGAGAGAGTTGAGGTTTTTCTTCTTGATCCTGAACCTTACATTTCGATACTCTTGCCTTGCTTTGCGGTCATGAGGTGGAAGGTTGAGGAAACAGAATACAAGTGAAACTTCTGGCTAACCAGTGACCTATCCATTAAAGAGCCAACTGTGTTTGGAGTTTAACGGAAGTCATTCTGAAGCAAATGATCTACTTGCCTACTTCCTTAAATAGAGGATACTGACTGTGGTTCCTTTCCTTGGGGGGGGAGGTTGCTCAGTGACCCCCATTGATGGGCCCACCGTGTTGTTTAGGTGCTGGTGCCTGATTGTCCTGGTTCCCCAGCTGCTGTCCGTGTCTCTTTCCATGTCCGCACCACCTTCGGTGATTCGAGTCTGCGGCGTGTTTGCATGGTGGCTTGGGAAATGGATGAGTGGACGTTTTAGGATCATCTGTGAATGAGGAACGAGGAGCCTCTGCGGGAGAGCCCGTGGTTTCCGCTTATGCAGAGTTCTCGCCTCAGCGCTTGGGGGAGCTAGCATTTATGTGGCTGCCGCAGCCTCTTAGCTTTGGTCTGGAAAACTGAAGTTTTGAGCCGAGTCTCAGGATGAGTCAGGAAACAGAGATCTCTATGAGATGTAGGCCCTTAGGGCTGAGTGAGTGAGTGATTTGCTCGATTGCACAGCTAGGAGGAGAAGCCTCCTTGGACAGGTGGTATTTTGCTGGGCTTCCCCTTCCCTTCCTTCCAGGCACCATCCCAGAGAGGTGGCCACTGCACTACGACAGAGTCTGGAATCCTTTTCCATACAAGTTATTTATCTCTTGTATTATTCCCTTGTATCTCCCAGCTGACCCGTGGTGAGGGCCTTAGAAGGTTTATAGGCTTGTCTTTCCTGGGGGACCTGCAGATCTCCAGCAGTTAAATTGGAATTAGCGGGCCCAGGGAAGAGACTAGAATGTGCAGGGGCAGCTACCAAAGAAGACAAGGCAGAATTCCTGGTGCCAGTGAAGGGGAAGAGGGGAGAGCGCTGGGGGTGGGTGTGAGGAGAGGTGGTGGGCGAGAGCTGATGGGAAGGGCCCTGCCCGGGTCCCAGTGCTCAGCAGCTGGTTTGTTGGCTGTTGGATCATCACGCCCTTTGTTCAACACATATTTCCTGAGCATCTTGTGCTCAGTAAGTGGTGGGTCAAGTGTAGGGGTGAGTGGTACAGGCCGGGTCCCTGTCCCAAGGAACTTCATCACCTGGCTAGGTGGGAGGAGTGGAGGGCAGGAACAGAGTGACCCGGGCCAGATGGATAAATGCTGGGTTAACATTACACCTTTCTAATTCTGTTTAGAGGGATTAGGAAAGGCTTCCCAGAGGAAGTAGGAGGATAAAGGAGGAATTACTTGGAGGAAGAAGGGGTGTTGCAGGTGCTGAGACCGTACGTGTGGAAGGGCACAGGGCATGACCCAGGAACCGTCAGAAGCATAGCGTGGCTGGAAGGTTGTGTTCTGGAAGGGAGGTGGGAAGAGAAGAGGGGAGGGAGGCTGGCCAGATCATGTGGGCTTTGTTGAACAGTTTGGGTTTTGTCCTCAGGGCACGTGACAAGCTGCTGATGAGTTAAGAAGGGACTAGGGGAGTGTCAGGGTCAGACTGTAATTTAACGCGGTCCTTCTGGCGGAACCTGGCGGTTGGGTTGGTGGTGGGGCTGGATGGGAAGCTTCCTTCTCAGGATGATGCAGAAGTCCAGACACCAGATCATGGTCACCAGGATTGAGATGAAGGAACCAGGATGGAGAAGAACAGGCAGAGATATTTATTTACTTATTTTATTTTATTTTTAGAGAGAGAAAGAGCGCGTGTGGGTGAGAGGGGCAGGGGAGGAGGGGAGAGAGTATCTCTAGCAGGCTCCACTCTCAATATGGAGTCCAATGTGGGGCTTGATCCCATGAACCTGGGATTGTGACCTGAGCCAAAGGACGCTCAACTGACCCACGCCCCCAGGCGCCCCCAGGCAGAGCTATTAGGTGGTAGAATTGATGTGATGATGGTTTGAAGGGCTTGATCACTGATGGGTTTGGGGATGACGGTCGAGGCTGCAGAGATACCGCCTCACCCAGGTTTTGAGCATGAGCAACGGTGGGTGGCAGTGCGGTTTGCTGAGTTTGGAGAAAGAAAGGGAGAAAGAACAGATGTTTTTGGGTGGAGGGAGTGGGAAGATAAACTTGCAGTTGGGACGTGTTGGGTTGGGAGATTGTGGGCATCCAAGCAAGAGTAGCGTCTAGAAGACACTTGGGTATATGGATTAAGGCCAGGTTAAAGGAGATCTAGGTGAATTCTTTGGCCAGCTACTGAACAGGGCCTTGGGTTAGGTGCCATTTGGAACGGGACACGAACACTGTCTTCCTTATATGGCGCACCCGGTGTGGGGGAGGGGACAGATGTTATAAAACAAAGGTGGTGATTGGCGTTAGAGGGTCTGTGCTGTGACAAAAACAAGGCAGTGATCAGCTGTGCCTGGGCTCAGGCCAGAGAAGGCTTAGCAGAGGAGGGGTGCCGGGAGGTGGGTGAGGCGGCCGGCCGCACTGAAGTCCGACACGTGCGCACGTCAAGGTAATCATAGAAGGAAGTGGTCTCTGTTAGCATATGCCGCAGAAGTGTGGCTTCTCATCCTCTCGGAACAAGGAATTTGAGGAGGGTGAGGCTCACGGAGTACTTAACGTGGTGCGGTGGTAGGGTCTCCATGAGTGGGTGGTCGGGTCAGGGCCTTGCCGAGAGCTGCATCTTCTTGGGGTTTCCCCCGGCCTGGCTGGGCAGGCACAGAACCCTGCTTTGCCAGGACTGCCAGGGCGGCCGTCTCTCGGGACTGGATATGCCCCAGCCACACTCCCCAAGGCCGGTCAGCGGCCGGACGCCATGTCTGGATTTCTGCTTCCTTGGGGTGTGTCCCTCTCTCTCGTGCATCTGTCCTGGGACCAGCCTCAGTGTGCTCCCTCCCCAAAGGCAGGAGGTCAGGAGTGAATTGATAAGCACAGACGTGGGGCAGGGGTCCGTGGGCCTGCCCTGGTGGGATGGACCCAGATGTGCCATCCCGATGGCCCTGTCATAGGGCAGGGCCCTTGCTTGGATGGGCGCTGCTGAGGCCTTACTCGGCTTCCTCCCCTCTTTTGTGCTTCAGCTGCTTTATTTCCTGTGATCGATCTGTGTCCGTAAGGCGCTAATGTGGAGGTACCCTGAAGGTCAGATATGGCCAACAGATACATTTTATTTGGCCTATAGAGTGCTTTTAGAAGTTTGAATTAGTTGATAATATTTTTAAAAAAACTAGTTTCACGTTCAAGTCCGGATTTCCAGCTTCTTTGGAAACCTGGAAGGCGCGGCAAGCCTGGGCTGGGTCTTGCTGGATTAAGGCTGCTCCCGTAGGTGGACCTGGTCCTCCAGTTCGGCCACAGTCCCCACAGGCCGGCCTCACTCAGGCCCATCCCTTCTGGAACTTGCTTCAAGATAACTGAAACAGATCAAGGTCATCTAAGTAGAAGCTACATACAGTACAACTCAGCCAACGTCAAGTGTGTAGTTAGTGACTTTTTACCTCTTTCACTGATTTCGTGATGATTTCAGAGTAGAACCCCTAGGGGGCAATCTTACTCCTCCATCCATCAGAGACATCGCACTGGTGCTGCCCCGACCCTCTGTACCCGATTGTCTTCGCCTGTTTGGGGTGCTTGAACAAAGTACTGCAGACCGGGGTGGGGGTGGGGTCGGGGGGGGGTGTTGCCTACAAACAACAGAGACTTATTTCTTACAGTTCTGGAGGCTGGAAGGCCAGGTGCCCATGTCAGGTGATAGCCCTCTTCCAGCCTGCAGACCTCACTGCGTCCCCATGAGGCGGGAGGTCTGAGGCCTCTTTCTGGAGCCTCATTTGTAAGACTCTGGTCCAGTTCCTGAGTTCCACCCACGTGACCTACTCTCCAGCCATAGAATACGGTCACAGACAGAAATTTGCGGAGGCCACAAACATGGCCCCAGTGCATCGCCCGCTGCTTTTAACTACATTTAGTTGACTCTTTCCCTTCATGCTGAGAGCCAGGGAAGCTCTCTGACTTTTTTTTATGTTTATTTTTTTTAGTTTTTGAGAAAGAGTATGAAAGGGGAAGGACAGAGAGAGGGAGACAGAGGATCCAATGCGAGCTCTGTGCTGACAGCAGAGAGCCCAACATGGGCCTCGAACCCACGAACCCTGCCATCACACCGTGAGCTGAAGTCAGATGCTTAACTGACTGAGCCGCCCAGGCACCCCTGCTCTCTGACTCTTACTTCAGTCCTTGCTCTTCTATTCACATTCTTTTCAAGGCTCAGATACGGAAAGGGGGGCTCTCTGACAAAACGCTAATTGTTGGATGTTAAAAAATGAAGTAATAATTATAGCGACTGTCCTAGGTTGAGTTGTGCTATCTGCCTGGAGACAAGTAGGGCCGTTTCTGGTATTTTATCGCTTATCCTCATGAGCAAGTGAAAGCCATTTTGTAGCCAAGGAAATGCAGACTCAGAGAGGTGGAATAGCTTGGCCATGGTCAGGGAGCATAACCTGGTGGCCCAGGAGGGTGTTCGGCTGTCCCCAAGGGGGCCGTGGGGTATGGTTGGCACGGTGTCCTTGGGGAGAGGCGCTGCCTGAGTAACTGGCCGGATGCTGGGTGTGTAGTAGGTGGTGCGGATGGCGCTGTGAAGGCCCTTGTAGATGGATGGGTGTGAGCGGAGGTCGGGAGACACAAAACAGCCTGGCTTCTGGAGAGACCTGGAAGGGAGGCTGCTGGGCTGTGAGGCAGCCGGTGGCGGCCTCCTGTGAGAGATGAAGCCGCGGCTGCCCCCGGGGCCTCTCAGCTTCTTGGCCCGAAAAGCTGGGAGCCTTGAATGCCTTGCTCACGAGTTTGGCCTTTGTCTTCAACATCAGTGTATTTTAAACTTTGCCCTGAGAAGCCGAGGAGAGAGACTGCTTTTGCCGGCTCACCGGGCCAGGTCCACCTTGTTGGTCGTGTCTGTTCAGCCTGCAGTGCCCGGTTTCTTTTGCAGAGAGGGTTCTTGGCCCCCAAAAATGAGCAGTCGAAAGTCTGAGCACAGGTGTGGCTTGATCAGACCCTCGTCTGGCGGCTTGGAGGTTGGTCTGCCAGGCCCAGGCTAGGGGTGAGGGGACAGTTAGTGTCACAAGGTCTGGGCCTTACTCTCCGACCTGTAAAATGCACTTCCATTTCTGTTCAGTCATTGGACGTGTCTACTTTGAAGATGTTTGGCCTCATTTCCTGCCTCCTCCTGCTCCCTGAGCTAGGAGAACAGCTTAGAATTAATATTTAAATTTTGTTCACTTTTAGACTGATTGAGGAGTTGAAGCTGTCTTTGAAGAGCAAAGAAGCTTTAATTCAGTGCCTTAAAGAGAAGTCTCAGATGGCAGGTCCCGATGCGAGCGTGTCAACTGCAGAGCTCCGAGGCCTTTCTGCTGCTCCAAGGGGAGAAGAGGAGAGAGAAGCTGAGGTGAGGCGACGGGGTGTGAAGGGGGACTTTAATTAGCAGACCAGACTCCTGTGTGGCAGATGGGACGCACATTCGGTCCCCACGGGTCAAACGCAGACTGCTTCCAAATATTAGCTCTCTGGCAGCTGAGGAATTAGCAGCACCTCCTTTGTCAGGGGCCCTGGCGTTTCCCCTCCAGCCTCACGTTTCTATGGAGCTGGGTAACAAAACAGTCCATACTTGCTTACCTCCGTTTTACCGCGTGCTGATGTGTTGTTCCCCGGGGACTTTGTTTCTGTCCTTTGGGTTTTCTTGGGATAAAACTTAGTACCTCTTTCACCTGTGTGGTTAGAGGCAGTGGGGGGAAGGCAACTCACTTGTGTTGGGTATGGCGGCCGGTGAAGGGCGTCAGCGCGCCCCCGCACCGAGTCCTTCCGGCCGCTTTGCGAGGTCGCCATCACTGTCTCCTCGTGGAACTCAGAAGCGGCCTCAGACGAGTTGTATTTCCCTGGGTTCTAAGAGGTGGCCTGCGAGTGCCAGACCCCAGCGCCTCCCGGAGGCCACCGCTCCCCTCGCAGCCTCCACCAGGCCTGCTAGTGCGGGGGCCTCGCTGGGACCCTCCCACCCTTGTTGGACCCGGGGTGGCTGCTGCCTGTGGCACAGTCACGATATGGGGTGTTCTAGACGCTCAGGAAAAGTCTTGATCTTTTATGGAGCAGAATCGTCTTTGTCCCTACAAAGGCTGGGATTTCTGCAGCCTCACTGGTTAGTTTTCCACTGGAATCAGCCCTCGTCTCCTGCTCCTCTTTTTAACCCTGGGCCCCGTTCTTTAGCTATTCATTGTCCCACGGCCCCGGGGTTCACCCTCTGTGGGACTGGTGATCTGCCCATGAGGGTTGCTTGTCTTTCCATTTCTCTTCACTCGGGTGGGACTCCAGGCGAGGTAGAGAGGAACGGGCACTTCTTTCCATGACGTCCACCACGGTGCGGAAAAGTCTGGAAATGAGATACTTGTTCTAATTGTTCTGGGGAAGCTGTTGGATTGGGAGTCCCTTCCAGGTGCCAAGTAACGCCTTTTCTTAGGCTGCACAAATGGAGCTCCAGAAGGAGAGACACCGCTTTGAAGAGAGGATCCAGGTATGTTGATACAATTTTTACAAACCCTTGCCTCTTGCTTCAGTCTGAGGGCATAGGTAGTTCGGCATGACAGCAGCTTTCACCCGTGCGATGCAGCGCGTGCCAGCCAGCCTTTCCTACTTCAGTAGTTCTGTGAGGCAGGCACTCCCATTGTGCGGATGGGGCACGTGAGGCCCTTTCCAAGATCGTGTAGCTTGGAAGAGGTCTTGCGGGGATCTGGACCTCCCTGTGTGGTTCCAGAGCCATCGCTCCGTCCTCCCCACCCTGGTCCGAGCAGCCGGCATCTGTATGGCGCCTGCCAGCTTAGAAAGGGCTTCCGTCCATTATCTCATTTGATCCTCACAACAGCCCGGGAGGGAGGCAGGCAGCACGATCATCTTTAGAGAGGAACTCAGACTGTAAATGTGTATGTTCAGTCTCCATCAAACCAAATTCTCTGCTAGCTTTTGTAGCATTAAGGAATGAAATTAATGATCTGTTATTTCCCCCAAATAACCTGGTACGGTTTCAAAGCCTCTGATGTGACTGTATTCAGATTCCAGAAGGCATCGGAGTCCTTCCCACAGGAGTAGCTGTCATCGTCTTAACTGATCTGATCCCCTTCTTCTCACCCGGCCCTGTTGCCGTGAGCGCCAACACAGTAACTGGGAGCTGCCGCCACTGCGTTCAGCTCTACTTGGAAACATTAATCACAGGGTGACAGGAATGAGATAGAATAACTGCATTTGAGTGTGCTCTTACAGATATATTTACAGTGCGCTTTGGTTGGAACGCATCAACTTAGTGAATCTTTTTCTAATCTAATTTAGGCACTTCAGGAGGACCTGAGAGAGAAGGAAAGAGAGATTGCTACAGAAAAGAAAAATAGTTTAAAGAGGGATAAAGCCATTCAGGGTCTAACCATGGCATTAAAGTCAAAGGAGAAAGAGGTATGTGGTGGTGTGTCTGATATTCTAAAGTGAGATTTTTCTTTATTAGCTTCTGTGGCTGGCCTGTCGTATCCCTGAATGCTTGGCTTAGGGTGAAAAGGTTCTAAGAGAGCTGGGATGAGGATAGGAAGTGGGGAAAGGGTCCTTTAGTCCACTAGAATTTTTTCGGAAAGTCCGCTTTAGCACTGTCCACTAAAAATACTATGTGAGTTACATGCGGACGTTTGAATTTTCTAGTAGCTACGTTGAAAGGAGTAAAAAGAAACAAGTGACACTAACTTCAATAATGCTTACATCATTTTAGCATGTAATCAATAAAACAGGAGTAGTAATGAGGTATTTAACGCCTTTGTAGTCTTAACGCCATCTCTGAAGTCCGTGTGTGCTTACAGCACGTCTTGTTTCAGACTGACCAGATTTTGAATGTCCAGCCACACAGGTAGGTGGCCCATGGCTACCATATTGGACAATGCCCAGTCGTTTAGGAAGATGGCAAGATTGAGCTGAAAGACTTTTAGGAGCCGAGGCCGTGACTATGAAGAGTTAGCTACCTGTGTTGTTGCCTTTGGGATCCAGGGTTGTGGCCAGGATGGTCCATGCCATTTATAACTACTGTTAGTATAGCATTCTGCTGTTTCTCAGTAACCGAGCCAGGCACAGATACAGAGAAGAAAACCCAGCTCTGCTCACAGGTCTGGTGAGGGCGAAAGACAGGGCAAAGGTGTGGTGATTGAGGGACATGCAGGGGGCTGTGCAAAGTGGAGGGCGGGGGACCTGAACCAGATTTGGGTATGTATGTGGGGAGTGGTGCTTGGAGGAGAAGGTGTCTGAGTGTATCTTGAAGGATGAGTAGCCGTTGGTTGGCAGGAAGGCAGAGGGGAGAACGTTGGTTAAGGCGTTAGCTTGGGAAGGAGCCTGATCGGTGTTTGTGGAGCCAAAAGCATTTCGAGGTGGTCAGTGCACCAGGTGCGGAATGGAAGTGAGACCAAGAAGGAGCTGATGCGGTTGCACGGGGCCAGCGGTGGGGGCGGAAGTAGTCATTTTGGGTTGGTTGGCTGGCGTGCTGCGGAAGGCTCCTAAGCAGGCGGGCTGTGACCACGTTTGCACTTCAGCGGGGTCTCAGCCTGTATCTGGAGAGAGGATTGTGGGAGGGAGGAAATGGAGGCTGGGAGGCCAGTAACAGAGGTGAGAGCCCAGAAAGATGGAGTTAGAGTGGTGGTCACTGCCGGAGAGGAGTGGAGGGGCGGGGCTTATTCAGGAAACGAGATCAGAGATAACCGGGAATGGTTAGAAATTAGAAGGGAATTTGGGGAGGTTTGCTGAGGAGGTGTGGGACTCAGAGAAGGGGCAGTGGAGGGTGACTTCCGGGTGTCTGGCTGGCATGAAAACGGACCGTAGGGGGGACACGTGTGGTGATGTGTCTGTTCAGAGAGCGCTGACTTTGAGGAGCCCGTGGACCGTCGAGGCGGCACCTCCAGAGGCAGGTGGGCACGCAGGTCTCAAGTGCGGGGAGAGCTCAGGTGTGCGCTGAGACTCTAAGAGTGGGTCTCCCTGTCCAGAGAGCGTGTGGCGGGGCGAGAACGAGGCTGAGGACGGGCCGTCAGAACTTCAGGGACAGGGAGAGAAACGCACGAAGGAGCCAGGAGGGCTGCAGTGGCGGAGCTAAGCCCGGAGGTGCGGGAGGTGACGAGGGCGGGGCCTGCGTGACCGCCGGTGTCGGGTGTGGCAGAGCTTTGGCTCGCAGAATCGTACTTCTAGTTTACATCATTGCATCATGTGGGGGTTCGGGCCCCGCTGGAGCAGGAGACCTTCAGTGTGTGGTGAGCGGGACCAGCAGAGGGGCAGTTCCGGGCGCTGGCGGAGCCCAGCGTGTGGCGGCGGGAGTCGCTGCTGACCGGGGAGCGGGAGCAGGTCCCTAGGGGATGCGCGATGGTGGGAATGGCCAGGCCAGGTTGTGGGCCGGGTCATCTCTGTGGGCGCCAGTGACGGTAGCGCTTTGTCTTGGTGAGGCGCGGTTTTAGCTCCGGTACCGTCCCCCCATTTAGCCCAGTACTATCCTCATTTTCTAGTTGCGGGAGTTGAGTCTCGGAGAGATTAAGTACCTTGCCCGAGGTCGTCTAGCTCTCAGATGGCCAGAGTAGAAGCCCTGCCTTGCTGACTCCATGTCTTTCCTAACGACAAAGCCCTTGATTGGGAGACCACACAGGTCAGCAGGGAGAGCCCTGGAGCTGTGCGCCCAGAGGGGAGAGAGTCCCGGTGCGCACTCAGCCGCTCTTGTTTTTACCCAGGTGGGAGACCTTAACGCTGAACTCCAAGAGCTCGGCGCGGCCTTTGCCAAAGCCACAGAGGCCCCCCAGGAAGCGCAGACACCGAAGTTCCAGGTAAGCGTTCACTTCGGGTGAAGCGGCCGTGTGCCCGGTCCTCACTCCTGGTGAGGTCAAGACTTGGCAGCCGAAAGGAGCCGGGGAAGACTCCCAGTGGCCTTTAGTAACGGAGTTCTCAGTCTGGTCGAAGGATGTTCTCTGCCAGCTCTGGAGGCCTCTCCAGCCCCCTCCCCAGTATGACATCGGCAATGCGGACAGTCGCCCCCGCAGTAGGGACTGCTGAGTAGATGCTGTGCCAGCGGTAGACGGCGCCAGATGCGTCGTTACCTCAACTGATCTTCACAGCCCTGCAGGGACGGCAGCCAGCATCCCACTGTTATGTGTGGGGTTTTTGAAGCTCAGGGAGGGTGTGCAGCTTATTCACTGTCACACAGCTCGCAAGTGGCAGGGCTGGGATTTAAATGTCGTAATTGCTAATAGTAATAGCCACGCCCTGTGCTAAGTGCTCTCTCTGGATTAGCGCGAGGGATCTGGACAGCAGACGGTGCAGTAGGCACTGCGAATACCCACGTCAGAGTCAGGTCTCCTGCATAGGGTCACAGAAGTGGGAAGTGAAAGAGCTAGGGTTTGCCCCAGAGCCAGTCTCACCCCCAAGCCTGCGCTTTTACCCGGCCCCCTCACCCCCCAACCCCCGTCCCCTCACCTGGCTTCTTCAGCCCAGCAGCTCTCTGCTGGGTGTCACTCCCGTATCTTGATGATTTGACCTGCCTTTTCTCCTTTTTTTCTCCCAGTATTGTATTCTAAGGACTCCTGCCGGTCATCTCCTTGATATTCCCTCTTTCTGGCTGACTTTAGTTCTGTGTTTTCCAATATTTTAATATTTTCTTCCCATGTTTCTAATTTCCCTATACACGTTTCTCTGTTACTAATAATGAGTCAATAACGACCGCATGCTTCCCAGCCCCCTTCCCCCCACATTAGTTTCGGTTATCATGTAGAAGTTAGAAGTTAAATCTAATTTAAGACTGAGCCCGAAGATTCATAACCCACATTATCTTTTGCAGCGTTCTGGTCCACAGGTAAGAATAATTAAAGTAATTTGGTTTAAATCATGGTGCACTTAGAGGCAGAGGCATATCTCTGCCTTTGGAATCTCAGATTTGCCTTCTCCCACCATTTGGTTGATGAAATGGAGCTGAGACTATACTTCACACGGAGGTCCTTCCCCCAACTTTGAAAATAACAAGTTTTAAAAGCTGAATTCTTAGGAAAACCACTGCTTGAGAAAAAAAAAATACATTGGCAGTTGATAAGCAGAGGGACCAGACAGACATCCCTATAATCGTTGTGATGTTTTACTTGCTACGTTGAGCCTTGAAGGTAAGAGAGTAGTCTTATACATTTAAATGTTACCCAGATGGGGCCCCTGAATGGCTCAGTTGGATAAGCAGTAGACTCTTGATTTCAGCTCAAGTCATGATCTTGCAGTTCGTGAGATGGAGCTCCACGTTGGGCTCCCTGTGACAGTGCGCGGAGCCTCCTTCCGATTCTCTCCCTCCCTTTCTCTCTGCTTCCGTTTCTCTCCCTCCCTTTCTCTCTGCTCCACCCCACTCACGCTTGCTCCCCTTCAAAGTAATAAACTTAGAAAAAAAAGAAAAAAAAATGTTACCCAGATTTATCACACACATTTATTAGTTTCCTAACCGAAGGACTCTCAGAATGAGTTTTGGGGTCTTGTCACTTTCACTGCTGGCCAGGTTTCTTGTCTTGCAAGATACAGACACCACAAACTGTTGAAAGTCCTCTGGTTCTGCGTGCCTGCTTGGCTGTCCCGAGAGCGCCCTTGAATCCTTTCCCATGGAGGAGGGAGCATGGCAGGTCGTCAGGGCTTGAACTCAGGTCTGACTCCAAAATCTGTGTTCTTGCCATTCTTCTGATTGTGTATGTGTGTGTGAGTAAAGGCACACAGTATGCTGGTGTGGGCTGTTTCATTATGAGGTGGACAGAGTTTGCACAGACACTTTGAAAATGCATTTTCTTTTACATACTGGGACCTTTCGGGGTCCCAATGTGATTTGAGCTACTCACGACTTGCAGCATGAGTGAAATAGCCCAGGTTCACAGGGTTGGCATTAGGGCTAGTGTTGAAATGACAGTAGTGATATGCGAATTCTTGGAGTGGTCACCACAATGTGCAGATGTGAATTCTAATCACAGGTGTGGCTCTGTGCAGGTGACAGTGTGGCCTGCATGGTGTCTACCTCCAGACCCATGAGAAACACCTATTTTCACATTTGGACCACAGGTTTCCCCTGCTGCCGAAAAGTAGAGCTTTCCTGTAAAATCTTCGCAAGCCGACATAGTGTAAAACAAAGAAGCAGTTACCAGTAATTTACATGGAAACGGTTTTGAGCCTTCTCAGACCCAAAAAACAACCTCTCTTTTTAGGCTTTCCTGACATCTAAGGATACCTCTTGCTAACAGATACAAAGAACAGATGAAGATAAAACCCAGATGCTGACAGGACACCGTTCAGAGCTACAGTGGCTCCACTTGCTCAGTGTAGCTCCCGGGGAAGGGGCGTGGCGGGGCCACCCTCACTGCCCCTGGAAGGACTCACTGCAGAATGAATGCGGAATGCCATTTTTATTAAAAAAATTTTTTCTTATTGAACCCTAGTTGATGTGCAATATGAGTTTCAGGTGTAAACCGTAGTGATTCAATGTTGATGTGTACTGTGAAGCTACCACGATAAATCTAGCTACCGGCTGTCACCACGCATAGTGGTTACAGTATTATTAACCATATTCCCTGTGCTGTGCATCACATCCTTGTGACCTGTTCCGTAACTGCAAGTTTGTGCCTTATATTAATCCCATTCTTCTCTTTTGCCCATCTCTTCACCCCTCTCTCCTCTGGCAGCCACCAAATTGCTCTTTCTCTCTGTGTATAGGACTTAGCGCCTTTTTTCATAAAAGTGCAAACCCGCTTCTGATTTCTTTTGGTTAGCAAGAACCGGCGCTGTTGTAGGTCTTTTGGGAAAGCAAAGTGGTGTGATGCGAACTTTGGAAGAGTAGGGCCTACCTGTAGCTTTATTTTTCCTGCCCTGCTTGGCTAGGAAAGTAAAACTGCATATTGTAGAGATTTATAAAGTACTTAAAACAATGGATAGATGCCAGCAATAAATTCATGTCTAAAGATGTTCAGTATTAACACCTTGACTCTTTCAACGCATACTTATATATATGTTCATACATACAACCTTTGAAAAATAATACATATTTTGTTTGAAGAGTCTTTTTTCATTTAATATTCTTATCATGACTGTATATATAGATCTGCCCAATCCTTTTTAAAAATTTTCATTTTGAAATCATAGATTTATGTGCAGTAGATTTCTGCATACTCTATGTGGTTTTCCCAAAGGTGACATCTTCCGTAACTTTAGTAACAGTACCTTAGCCAGGACGACATTGGTGCAACAGCATATGGATCTTGTTCAGATTTCAGCAGTTTGACATGAACTCGTGTGTGTGTGTGTGTGTGTGTGTGTGGGAGGGGTTTATTCCTTTGCTTTTTAAACAGTCACATGTAGTCCGCTGTATGTATGTACCATATTATTTTTACTGGGGTGAACATGGGTAGGACATGAATGTGAATCTTGTCTCTGTTCTTCACTGCATCTGTAGCCTTGGGCTAGATATTTGAGCTCTCCCAGCCTGCTTACCCATCGTAAAATCCGGATAATCACACTCAGGTCACATAATCCTTACAAGGATTACAACAAGAAAGTGTATCTGGGCACAAGTAGTAACTCAGTAAATGTTAATGCAGCCTTAAGGTGGGTAGTATAATCTTCTGGCATAAAGATATAGTAGTTACTTTGGTCAGTTTTTCAAATTCTGTTAATGGAGTTCTGTAAGTAGCTTTTCGTTTGGAGGAAATTCTCCATATTCTCTCTTGATTGGGAATGAAATACAATGGAGTAGGTGCTGGCAAAGGGGAACTAGATTTATTTATCCTGCACTTCCGGAAACGCTGTTTTATCGTATTTAATCTTCACAACAGTCCTGCAAAACAGATTTCCCAGATGAGGAAAGTGAACTTCAGGAAAGTTAACTTCTCCCAAGTCATTGGTCTTTGAACTCTGGGCTCTGCGACTCTCTCTTTATTAAACTCATTGTGTTTCTGCAGGGCGGGGAAGTGTGATTTGTCTAATAGGATATTTGGCCTTTAGTTTCTGACTGTGCCTGTCTAATTGTGCCAAATGTTTGCCACCTGTTTTAAGCACTTCACTGATGGCATTGAATTCAGAAAGCAGGGTGTCATGCAGAAAAAGCTAAAAAAACCCAAAAAACCTCTCCAAAAGTGTCTCAAAGGGCCATTTAGGGAAAACTGAACATGGAAAGGATCTTTATTATGAGAGTATGGATTTGAATTTTTTAAAGAGGCTCTGTTGTCGTTATTTGCACAATAACCCACAAAAAGTTCATCACTGTAATAACTATTATTTTTTATTAATTTTGAGAGCGAGTGAGAGAGCACTACTGGTGGGGGGAGAGGGAGGGAGGGAGGAAGGGGGAGAGAGAGAGAGAGAGAATCTTAAGTAGGTTCCACACTCAGCGAGAAACCTGACACAGAGCTTGATCCCATTACCCTGAGATCATGATCTGAGCCGTAATCAAGAGTTGGACACTCAACCAACTGAGCCAGCCAAGCACCCCTTTAATAACTATCATTTTAATCATCACCATTGCTGGCCTGTGTTTAACAAGCTCCTAATTAGCATTCCTGTCTCTAGCCTTCCCTCCTTGAATTCAGTCTTCTTCTTTTACTTGTTGCTAATTTATCGGTATTAATTGAAATCTGCATCAGATTGGGCAAGGCAATGCAGTGCTGTGGGAAGAACACAGGCTTGGGAATCATTTGAATCCCAGATGTGATCACTTACGGCCTGATGACAGGCTCGCCATTTAACAGTTCTGAGGCTGAGTTACTTAATAGGGACATTACTTAATAGGTACTTTGCAGGATTGATATGAGAAATAGAGGTATGATGTGTTCAAAAGTGCCTGGTTTAGCTCCTCATATGTAACCAGTGCTCAATAAAAGGTAACTGAAAATTGTTCAAGATGAACGTTTTTCCCATCATTGTTTATCTTCTTTTGTTTTTTGTACTTATTTAAATAAGCATTGCCCCCAGTACTTTTTAAAAAATGTTTATTTATTTTGAGAGAGACTGAGACAGCATGAGTAGGGGAGGAGCAGAGAGAGGGAGAGAGAGAATCCCAAGCATTCTCTGCACTGCCAAAGCAGGGCCCAACCTGGGGCTCGAACTTATGATTTATGAAGTGGTGAGATCATGACCTGAGCTGAAATCAAGAGTTGGACGCTTCAATGACTGAGCCACCCAGGTATCCGTCCCTACTTCTTTTTTTGGGGGGTCTTGTGACCTAGGCTTCCCCATTCTTTTAAAAAATTTCAATTTTAAAGGAAAGTGAAACAGACTTCTATAAAACCCACTTTGAAATGTGAATGGGGCTCCCCCTCAGTCTCTGTTGCTGGGTCCTGAATAGCAGTGGGGAAGTGTTGGACCAGAAGGCTGGGCCCTGGGGGCCCAGGACAGGCAGAGCCCCCCCTCCCTTCCCAGATGAACTGTGGTTGCAGCCGGCCCACCTCTCCTAACAGCTCGTACTTAACTAGCAGTGGTGGAGGAGTGACATTTCCCTGGAATGCCAAGAAGCTGGGGCCAGGCCCTTTACTCCTGGGGCAGTCTGGGTTGTGACCTTGACAGCTCTTGACAGCTTTTAATCATAAACCCTATTCTGATCTGAAGAGCAAATTAAAAAAGTAAAAGTTTATTTTCTCCTAATTATAAGTATTACATATGCTTCAAATTTTCCTTCGGGAGGCTAGGAAGAAGGAAAAAAAAAGAAAAAAGGAATCCAGAAATCGCCCTGCCACTGTTAACATTTTGATGTTTGTCTTTCTCAGCTTTCTCCTGTGCATAGATTTTATTTTTTAAAGGACTCACAGTTTAATCTTCTATTTTTCTCATATACTGTTGTGACTTGGAATATTCCCATGTTATCAACTTAGTTCTTATTTTTTCCTGTTAAAGTAAATCTGTGATGGATGACTTTGTGCGTAAGGCTCTTCCTTACGCTGTATTTTGGATTCTTCCCATGAGACTAGTCCTGGGAATGGAACCGTTGGGGTGAGTGTGAACACGTTTATCCTGTGCACACACACTTGACGTCTGTAGTACGTCCATAGGGGGTTACATCCATTTACATTCCTGCCAGCGTATTTTTTGGCTTCTGGATGCTTGGTCAGTTCTTGAAAAGTTAATACTAATTGTGTTGCTTCATAATCAGTTTGCCAGCACTGGGTATTCTCATTAAAACAGTCTCGATAAATGAAACCTTGTTTTCATTTGCTCTGTTTGATTATCCGTGAGGTACAGTATTTTTTCAAATGCTTGATAATCGTGTATGTATTTTTTTTTAACATTTATTTTTGAGAGAGAGTGAGCGTGAGCAGGGGTGGGGCAGAGAGAGAGGGAAATGGAGGATCTGAAAGAGTGTCTGCACTGACAGCACAGAGCCCGATGTGGGGCTGGAACTCACAAACCATGAGACCACGACCTGAGCCAAAGTTGGACGCTCAACTGACTGAGCCACGCAGGCTCCCTATTTTCTTTTCTGCTAAACTGTGCATTAATGAAGTAAAAATGTTCTGGGCACAAGTAGCCCTTGGACTCTGCCGAATTTACAGCTTCTCGAGGTGGCCGTGGCACTGCCCTGCTGACCACTTCCGTTTCCCCAGAGGACTGTGGGTCTGGGCTGTTCTAAACTCCGGGAGCATCGCCGGCTTGAATCTGTCTCTGCTTGTCACGTGGCCCTCTTCATTTCCTGCTCTGTAAAAACAACTTGATGAAGTGGTTTTTCTTTTTTTTTAAACCATTATAAAAGTAACATTCTCAGTAACCCTAGAACATTTGAAAGATTGAAGGAAAGAAATCAGTTCTGTGTACCCACCCAAATCCAGTTTTTGTTAACACTCTGTGCTTTCCCTTGCAGTCTTTAAAAAAAACAACAACAACACAGAACTTCTTTTACATAGTCGTAGCCTTTCCCCCCTTAACATCAGCATCGTCACACGATCATTACTCTGTGTTGGTTATTTCACAGTCTTCATGTTATTTGTGCTCAGGGTCCTGGAGGTTATATCCACCTTTTTCTTTTCCTTCCTTAACTTCCAAGGGGTCTGTTGAGTGTGCCCCAGAATCCCGCTCATCCCCCCTCTCCCTCCTCTCGTAGGGGTCCGAGGATTACGAGGCTGCTCTGTTAGAAAAGGCCGCCCTGTTGGCACAGCTGCGCTCAGAAATCCTCAGCAAGAGTGAGGAGAACCACAGACTGCGCAGGGGCCTGAGGAAGGTGACCCAGGAGCTGAGCGACCTGCAGCAGGACAGGGAGAGGCTGGAGAAGGATTTGGAGGAAGCCCATCGCCAGAGGAGCAGAGACGACTGCACCGTCCACGTGAGCCACAGCGGCGTGGGCGGGCCGGGCCTTCGGCCGTTTCTGGTTTTGGGGAGGTCTTTGCGGGAGACTTGGAACAATCTGGAAAACGTAAAGAAGAAGAGATTTCACTCTTCATCTCATCACCTAAGAACTCTCTCTGTCTCTGTCTGTCTCTCTCTCTCTCTCTCACACACACACACACACACACAATAGGTATCAAGTTGAAAATACAGTTTTGCGTTTTGCTTTTTCTGTGTTCTCTGTTTGGTGTGTTGCCATGTTATGAGTGCTCTCCAGAAACCTGTGTGTGTGTGTGTGTGTGTGTGTGTGTGTGTGTGTGTGTGTTTCTCGGTGCAGGCGTAATATTTCGTCACTTGGATGTGCTTCACTTTATTCACTCCCTTATTGTAGGACATTTAGGTTGTTAGACTTTTTTTTTTTTTTGCCTTATAACAAATGCAACAGCAAACATCCTTGTGTCTAAATATTTTTCCATTGATTAGTTCCTGATAGAGGCATAATTATTGGGTCAAAGAGTATGAAATTTTTAGCATTATTTTATAGATCTATGCAAATTGTTTCCCAGAATGGTTATGTCCAGGTTCCCTGTAAATAGAGTGATCCTTTTTTTTATAAAGACTATTTGTTCAGCATTGGATGTTAGCATTTAAAAAATTCTCTCTGAGGGCACCTGGGTGGCTCAGTCAGTTAAGCGTTTGACTTGGGCTCAGGTCATGATCTTGAGGTTTGGGAGTTTGAGCCCCACGCCGGGCTCTGTGCTGACAGATCAGAGCCTGGAGCCTGCTTTAGATTCTGTGTCTCCCTCTCTCTGCCCCTCCCCTGCTCACGCTTTGTCTCTCTTTCAAAAGTAAATAAACATTAAAAAATTTAAGTATAAATAAAAATTATAAAACATTAAGTAAGAAATTCTGTCTGAATTTGGTAGGCATAAAATAGTTTATCTTTGAAAATTTCTATTTTATATATATATATATATGTTTAAAATTTATTTATTTTTGAGAGAGAGAGCAAGTGGGGAGGGACAGGGGGAGAGGGAGAGAGCGAATCCAAAGTAGGCTCTGCCCATATTGTACGGGCCCCAGAGGGATCGTGTTGGATGATACATACTCTTTACTGAGCAGATTTCACACACTTTACTTAATAATTTCCTGTGCTCTTGCCGATTTGGTGGCTTAAATGAGGCCACAATAACCATCTTTGGGCGTAAAGGTGTTTTTCTTTGAAATTCCTAGGATTTGAGTTGGTTTCCTGGGTCAGATGCAACAAACATTTTCTAGTAGTTAATCATGTTGCCAAATCATTCGTCCAAAGGGCTGGCCCGATTTATGCAGCCACCAGCGGCCTGGGAGTGTAGCAGTTAGCTGCGTGTTGTTCAGAGATGTGTTTCCCACGTGTTACTGAACACCAGATGTCCCTGCTCTAGGTGTTGATGGAAAAATAAGCCATGGCCTCTGAAAGTTTTATCTTTTCTAAAGGGAGATTGGAAATGTTATATGTGATAAAATGCAAAATAGCCTAAAATCCAGAGCTCATTAATGCAGCTTATAGAGTCTGTGCAGAAGATACCTGTGAGATGGAGTAGTCAGGAAGCCTTCTTGGAGGAGGTGACGTGGGTCGAACGAGAAGAGTGGGATTTGAGTAGTGTGCTGTATGGAGGAGGTAAGGCAGAGACTGGCCAGATGGTCCTTGGATAGAGGTGCTGTTTTCATGGTTCTTACTCCTTCACTGGATAACTTCCTCTTAGCTTAAAATCGCTCCGCCCCTCCACCCCCACTGTCGTCGTAATGTACTGGGTTCATTCAGTAGAATTTGGATTGGAGACATGCACGCACATACACACATCGCTCTCTAAAATATGTAATTGTTTTATCTCATGGCCTGCTCTTGGTAAACATTTGAAGTGTCTGTGTAATATCACAGCAAGTGGAGATGCTGTAATTTATTTACCTGAGCCTCTGCTGTCAGACATTGGTGGTTCCGTAATCCACCCTCTCATGTAAACCTTGGTGCTTCGGAAAGAATTTTGGGCTGCCGTTGGTAAACGGATGTTGTCCTGTGTGGCACCTTCACATCCATGTGAGGAGGTGGGGAGTATTTGGAGATGAAAGGAAGGGGAGCGGGCCGGAGAGAGGAGGGATCAGGGCTGAGCATCCTGGGGGTGGGAGGGGTTTTGCTGCCAGTGACGGACACCCAGCTTGAGCTGACTTAGGCAAAGAGAGAATCCTTGCCTTGTGTGGTAACTGAAGCGCTGCAGGGACAGAGAGACTGGGAGAACGCCTTACGTTCACAGGACGTGAGGGCGCTGGCTTGTCGAGGGTCTGGGGAGAGCATGACCCCCCGCCCTGCCGTGGGGACTGGATCTCGGTCCCTGAGAGCGGGCCTCTTCCTCTGGCGGCCGCATCCTCCAGGTCCCCGTGGTCGGACATCACTGCCTGTCCGCTGGGGTCACCTACTCCCAGTTTGCTACATGCAGGGAAGGAGGACACTCACGCTCCGTTGCCCCCGCCGTCTTCCTGTCGGGACGGCCGGTGGGGGGGTTAGGGTACGGAGAGGCCCAGCCCAGCGTGGGCCGCGTGCCCGTTCTTTGTCAGCAGTGTGCGCGTGCGTGCGTGTGCGTGCGGGTCCCTCACTGCCAGCCTCCTCTAGAAGCACGTGTCTGGGAGGGATGGGCAGTTACCCAGAGAAAAGGGCTGTTTTGTTTCAGACCTAAACAACCACAGTGCACACTAAGCACTTACCTCGGGCGAGCGTGACCGTGACCCCGCTCTTTCCAGCATCTCGTCATGACTCCTTTTCTACGTCAGGCCACGTGTGTGTTTCTGGCAAGATGGTGTGGCCATGGTTCCTTTTCGTGTGTGTGTGTGTGTGTGTGTGTGTGTGTTGCCTCGCAGTGGTTTTCTGCTTCCCTTCTGGTCATTGTCCAAGGATCTGGCTGTGTGCGTCCATCGCCGGTGAACATCTTGCACAGACGTGAGAGCGTCGGCTTATGCAGGGCCTGGGGAACATGGTGGGCGGTGGGAAATGCACACGTAGAGCATGACCTCCTGGCCCTGCGTGTCTTATCTGCTTGTTCTCTAACAGGCTCCTTAATGAACTAGATTCACTCGCCAGCTGCTACTGCCATTGCTTTTGGATCGAAACAAACCAACAAATAAGCAGACGTTGTGGTGGCCTATGCTTCTGCCCTGGCAAAGGAAAGGGATCCATTCTTGCATCCAGCCACATTGACCACTGTGCAGACCCTCGGCTAGGCGTGGGGACAGTCCCACGACAGGGGTATGAGCAAGTCCCACGGGGGCACAGGGCAGCGAAGGGCTTGCAGCACCAGAGAAGGCTCTTGGGGAAAGTGACTTGTGAACCAGTTCTGAAGTTGGAGTTAAATAAAGGTTAATAGATAGGCAAGGGCGGGTTTGGTAGAGAGGGCAAAGGCACGGAGATGTGAGAGCACATGGTGTGTTTGGGGAAGCAAAACAGGAATGCTCTATTTGAAGTATTCTGAAGTGTTATTTGGAGCTTTAAAAATTGTAATTTATTCCTTTTGATGTTTCAGAAACATTTTCAGAGGTTTATGGAGAGTCATAAAAATGAGATCAAAGATACAGAGAAAGGCATTAAGGTCAAGTAACAAAAAGGGTGAGTAGTAAAATGGAAGCAGAGTAAGGAGAAATGCCCCTTGTGATACCCGTCATGGTACTGGAGACGGGGGCTTAAAATTCAGCCGGTGGCTCCTGGCTGCGGAAGTAAAAAGGGAAATTCAGTTGCAAGGTCCGCGGTGTCTGAAGACGAGCACACTGAGATAAGAGCACAGCATCTGCCGGGACTCAGGCCTGCGGGGAGTTGTGCCTCTGGCAGGTTTCTGGAGTTTTCGAGCAGGAGAGAGCCTTTGACCGCACCACATGCGATGAAAGCAGTTCTGTGCGGAGCCACATCAGTGTCACCCAAGTCGACAAGCTCGTAGTGGTTTCTGGTCCCTGGGACAATGTCTAGCTGTTTCCCATTATTCTCGTTTCTTTGACAGGAGCTCCAAGCACAGAGAGAAATGCTGCAGCCCTTTTTATAGGCAAGTCCTGATGCAGAGCCCTTGCCAGGGTCCATGGTCAAGCACGCGGGGTTTTCTTGTTGTTGCTTTTAGCACCCCCCAAATTCTTCCCAATGGAAAATCCACCAGTTACCTTTCGGATGTGATCAAACCATCCTTTCCTCATGACAGAAACATTTACTGCTGTCTCTGTGTGCTTGCTCTTGAGCTTTTCGGAGGGAGATGATAACCTATCTGAACAGGCGGCTTGGGTCTGGGGTGTAGGAGTTCACTGTGTCAGATGGCGCCTGGGCCCTGCGAGCTTCGGCCATGAGAGTCCCTTTGTCATGTTTGTTTTAGTTGCCTGGGATCGCGGTGATCTGGTGCCAGTTGGCTTGGCACATGTTGTAATTTGCATTTGTTTGTTTATTCAAGGGACAGGTAATAGTACTCGCAGTGGCACCGGCACTTTTGGGCGGCTCTGGCTCCGGCGAATGCAAGCTATGTTTTCTCCTTTGAAGCCTTTCCACAACCAGAAAGGTCCAAAGGTGCGGGTCTCCCAGAGATCCCCTTCTTTGTATTATACCTCCTTGCCACCAGGGGGAGCCCCATCCCTACCAGGAAACTCAGGATGTCTTTGCAAAATACAGACCAAAAACCCTGGTGGTCCCAAGTCGGTGTCTTACCTGTGATGTTTTAAGTGTCCTGGCTTCTGTGGTTTATAAAGGAATGCTGCTCGGATTGTCGCATCCTTGCCCTCACACCTTGACTTTGATACATTATTTGGCTCCAGAGACTTAAGGCTCTCCTTTGAGTGCGTACGTGTGTGTGCATGTGTATGCGTGCTTGTGTGTGTGTGTGTGTGTGTGTGTGTGTGTGTGTGTGTGTGTGTGTGTGTTTGGTGAAAAGTGATAGATGTAAACCTGTATTTTAGAGTTGCTTTTTCTGGGTCAGGCGTTCTGTATGCTACTTGGGGTGG